AGATAGTCGCTTTACCAGCCAGAACTGGCAAGAACTCATGGGAGTGTATGGATCTAAGTTGTTGATGTCGTCCGGCCACCATCCTGAGACTAACGGTCAGACGGAGCAGATGAACAAGATCCTACAGCAAGTTCTGCGCATGTACATTAGACCAGATCAGATTAATTGGGATGAGATGTTGCCTAAGGTAGCTAGTGCATACAACAACAGCGTGCATCTATCCACCTGCCGCACCCCCAATGAGTTGCACAAGTCCTTCAGACCGCGCAGACCGTTCGAAGGACTGAACCRGGATCAGATTSACAGATTGYCGCCCGATACTAGGGAGTTYGCTGTGCAWCACGAAAAAGAACTAGCTACTGTTGTAGAAAACCTCAGGAAGGCCCAGCACAAGATGATAGAGCAAGCCAACAAACATCGTCGCCCCTYACAGTTTCAAGTGGGCGACTTAGTCTGGGTCAGTTCTAAAGAGTTTGCCCCTGAGGAGAACATCTCGCAAAAGTTACTGCCCACCTATCGAGGACCATGGCCAGTCTTGGAGGTCAAAGGTCGAGAAGATGGGCCGTCCTACACCATAGAACTCCCAGCGCACCTCCACACTTACCCAGTCTTCCATGCGTCGAAGTTGCTACCTTGTCAAACAAGTGATCAGTTTCCATCCCGTAGGTCGATGATCCCACCGGATATGGATGGAAGATATGACATCGATGGTATAGTGGCTGAAGATGTCTTCAGGACTGGAGGTAGGGGTCGTCCACAGAAACAGTACAAGGTTCATTTTAGTTATCAAGAACCGGAAGACGACCACTGGTTTACGAGATCTGAACTTCTAGAGACAGCCCCCGATATAGTCTGTGCCTACGAGAGACAACAAAGAGGTAAAGGTCCTGCCTTGGACTGAAATTTTCTCGGAGGACCTCGAATTTAGGCCGGCGGGAGTGAAACGGTATTCACCAGTTCGCAGTAGCTGATGCAGATCCCGGGGCTCGATCCCTAGTCCCCCATCTTACCTGTGTACAGTACCGGTGTCAACCCGTAGATTTGACCCTGCGACCTGTAGGACCGCCAGTGGTAGGTAGGATTTCGTAGGTTACAGGGTAGAAGAGATTCGAACTGTAGACTTGTCGGGTAGGAGTCTAGACAGTCTAGAGGTCGTAGCTGTAGACTGTCCGAAGGGTCAAGGTCGCAGCTGCTACTTACCTGAAAGGGCAAAGTCGTAGMTGCTACAATGCCGAAAGGCCRAAACAGAGGGTTCTAGAAGTGGCCTTTCGGAGTCAGCCTACGTTAGGCAGAGGCAAGTGGTCAAGTGGTGGCAGTCCACCTCGTACAGTCAGCAGTCGCAGTCCACCCAGTCCGGTCCAGYCAAGCAAGTACCGCCTAGGACTSTGCACACCGTGGGCCAGGGGATACAGGGCAGACCAACGCATCACAGAAGTATAAAGCAAGAGGCTGCGCCCAGCCATTGATTCATTCCTGCGGAAGCCATGCGGAAGCGCTGCCACAGCAGCTTGTGCGAGGAGGTCTGCAGAAGGCCCGGAGACGAAGTGGGCGAGAGTGATGCAGTGTAGCCATAGCGATAGGTAGCGGCAGCCATAGCTGCCATAGCTTAGTGTAGAGCCCAGTGTGTGTGTACTGTGTGAGTGTCTAGCGTGTTGCGTGTGGGACATCCAGGGTGATCCAGAGTATGAACAGCGAGTTGTTTGAGCGCAGAGCCGCCATAGCCAATTGCCAGAGAACTATTATCTGGTTGTGATATCTCGAAGTACTGAGTGGGCGCACGTAGCCAGTTTGCTGTTTCGCTGTTTACATGCATGAAGAGTGTGTTTGGGAACGAGTCTGATTGCAGGTCGTCGAAAGGCTGGTAAAATGAAAGGCACGGGCATTTAGGGGGGGGCGGCAGTTCAAGCGAATGCAGGACCGGTATTTGCCTGTGGCATTTTCCTAGGAACCGGTAGGTGGCTGTGGTCCAAAATATTTTGAAACGGCGTGGGGGCTGCAGGTCCTTGAAATTCAAATATGAAACGGCGTGGACCCAGGCCTACAGCCTCATGCCCAGCCCACCCACTTCGGCCCA